ATTGTCGCCACCATACATCGTTCTTCTTACTCTGGATACTTTAGTTCTTCTGCCTACATCGTTAATTCTTCTTTTTGTTCCATTTCCATTCATATTAAGATTGGCAGCAATGACATTGCCGCCATCATTACTGTCTTTTTCATCATGTTAATTTGTAGAGGACTTGAAGTTTGGAATTGAGAGAAGTATTAGAAATATCTTTAATTTGGTGTGAATGATTAGTTTTTTCTTCTAACTATTTGCAGGTTTAAAAACACCGCTCTACTTAAGTAAATGAACTTAAATATACCATTGATCTTCCACATGAGTGAAATATACCCTAAATTCTCACCAAGTTTAGGGGTGTTTAAAACACTTTTGTCAACTTTTTATTAAGAGGCTTAGCTTATGCTCCAACAAGAGTTTGAGACTAATTGTTATGTCATGTAGCAGATCGAGGGTGTATTTAAGTGAGTTAGCCAAGTAAAGGAATATTTTTAAGACTATAAATAGTTCGAAAATGAAACTAATATATCACGTTAAGTTTGAGGGTGTTTTCAAAGAGAACCCTTGCCCTTAATTGATATCAAATGTGGAAGTGAACCAAAAATATGAAGTAACACCCTCTTTAAATATAAAAATACTCAATTTCTATACTTCACAGAATCCTTCCAAGGAACTAGTCTAAAGAGATTACATGAATTCAAAATAATAAGACACAACTCACACCATAAAGGAAGAGGGTAGAAGTTGTCGGTGATCATCTTCATCTTCACACGTGAAACATCACATAATCTAACCCTCTATCACATAAAGATTTTCTGAATCACTCATTCTATTAACACTAGAGTTCCTCTACTTTTCTCATTCCTGAACCCGAACTTCTACCACTTTGTTTTTGGTCTACTACTCTTCCTCAAGCTTACATGCTAACATCCTGGCTATTGACCAATTTAGTAAACCATATGCAAGACACTTACTAAACTCCGTTGACTCAAATCCCCCTTATTAGACATATCCTAGACCATTAAGACTTAAAGGCTGAATTTCATTATAATTAACTCAAAAAACACAGGTTGAAGCTAAACACACGTGAAGATCTAGCTTGTCCTATTTCATTTTGAGGGTGTAACAATTACACTTTTTCAACAATCCAAATTACCAAAGACCCATAAGACATCATTTATAGGTTTACCATGTAGTTTTGATCTATGCAAAAATCATCTCAACATTTAAACACACACAAAAAAGTGGCTATAGAGGGAGAGAAGGGGAGGGAAAGATGGAGTAAATTACATTTGATAAAAAAATACATAAAGCAAAATATATGAAAAATAACCTCTTTTTTAATTAAAAAAGAAAGAGAAGAAACAAACAATCAAAGCAAAAATACTAAGAAAAAAAATGAAGAGAGAGAGATAAGAGGATGAGAAAGCAAGAATTGGGGGGGGGGGGGGGGGCATATGCTAGAGAAAATGAAGTATAGTCGGATTATCTAATTTTTCTATAATGTAGTTATAAACAATAAATACATAGTTCATGTTTCATACTCATTTTAATTAAGATCACTTTAAAAAAAAAAATATGTATTAAGATTCGAACCCAGTCCAATCACCTCAAAATGAAGAGATACCCAATGTTGAAACCAGTAAACCCAATCAACTTTAGCAACATATAAAGCTTAATAAAGCTAGTGTTTGGCCATTTTTAAATATTCTTGACAAATAGTATTTGGATGAAAGTTTGGATGAAATTTCACAATGTGTTTAGCCATACTATTTGGAAAATATACTTCATTTTCTTAGAAAAATGTGATTTATACCCATAAGTTTTAAAAATTAAAAAAATTAACCATAAATTTGTATTACAAGTCAATTGGATCTTCCTTGCAACAATAACAAATAGGGTCCATGACACTAGAGTAATGTGGTAGTTTGAAGTGAGTGCAACAAACATTATTCCATACATCGTCAAGTAGACAAAGAACATGACATTGTTACCCTCAGCCAATTTTTAATCATTTTCATCAACAATCATATCATCATTTAATATTCATTGAGTATTTCATTAGTACTTTGGAATTCACATAAAAATTTATGTAACACAATGCAAACAACTACTATAGAGGGAATTCTGTAAAAGATAAAAGTTTGGTATAAAGCTTTAATTTTCAAAAGATTCCAAATACTAAAAAAAATTTATATTTGGAAATTTGGGATATTTGCCAAAAGTATTTGTCAAATAATGACAAACCGTATGGACAAACATTATCTGTCAAATTTTTTTCCAAATATTATTTGGAAAATTTACGGCCAAATATATCCCCTATTCAAGCTATATACAAATATATGTATACATAATTTTTTCAAAGTTAACATATGCATGTGCGCCCTACATAAACATGTAGATTTTCCTTTACCATGCTCAACATATTTTTTTTCGTTATTAGTATCCATTACTAATATAGAAGTCTGAACAAGCATATAGTTCATGGTCAATGTAAGGTTAGGCAACGGAACTGGATGTATCGGTACTGGTCCGGTGCCATTTCGATTCGTTTCGTTTCGTCCCGATTCGATTGCCCACGGGACGGAATGGAACATCCTGAGTCGCGACACGAAACAGAATTGGTACCGATTTATTTCGATTTTGGTCTTGTTCGGTCCGATTTCGGTATGGTTCCGATTAATGATAGTTATTAATTAATTTATATTATATATCTATAAATTATAATTTATATTTAGATTTAATAATAAATACTACCCAAGTAACCCAACTAATCCCTATTAGTATTACATTAGTATTACATTCAAGACTTAGTTGAAACAGAACTCTTCCTAGAAGGTGGTTGCGTAAACTATGCACTCTACTTATAGTTGTAAATTGAAACTACAATTTGTACTACAAATTTAAATAAATTAAATTGATATTTTTTTAATTTGTGTAGTTATTTTATCCTTATTTTTATTTAATTTTTTTAAAATTACAAATTTAATTTATTTAAATTACAAGTTAAAATAATAACTTATAAATTATAACATATTAATAAATAATAAGTACTCCCTCCGTCCCATTTTATGTGACAACATTTGACCCAACATAGAGAACAAGAAATAATGAAGACTTTGAAATGTTTACCAAATTGTCCTTCAAAAAAGCAACTCATTTTTTCTCTCCTCATAAATGTATTAGAAAATTAAGTGGGACCAATAAGGGTAAAAGAGAAATTATACATTTAAATACTTGCCATATAAGGAAATGTGACCTTTTTTTTGGACTGACCAAAAAGGAAATGGTGTCACATAAAATGGGAAGGATGATAATAACTTATAAACTTCAAAAGATTTAAATCTTGAAAACTTAATTAGACTTAAGTTGCAAACTTAATAAATAATTTTTTTTTAAAAAAATATCTTTAAAATAAACTTAAGTAAAAAATTACATTATAAATTTAAAAACTGTTAATTTAAACTTAGAAAAATAAAACAATATTCATATTTTCGTAATTTAAAAAAAATATTTTTTGAAATAATTAAATGTGTCATCCCGTTTATCCCACGTTCCATTCCGATCCGTTCTGGTTCCATCCCAGTATATAGTGTAACGGAATGGAACCAAGTATCCATCTTTGTAATTCCTGTCCGGTTCAATCCGGTATCGATCAACGAACAGGTCAACTCATCCTGTTTCGATCCGGTGATCTCTTTCTGATCCGTTGCCAAGTCTTAGTCAATGTGTATGCTTATGTTTTTTGAGATGATGGTCAATATGACTGCTTACTATTCCATTGGTTGCTTGTTTGTTCCCACTCATGTATTACTCTCTCTAACTATTTAATTGTGAAATATATCTTAAATTGATCACCTCTTTTACTTGTCATCTTTGACAAATTAAAAAAATACAATTTTATTTTATATTATATTCTTACTTTATTGATATTGAGTTAATGTTACTGAAAAGTGTAGTAAGTAAATATTTTTAGGACTCTATCAATTAATAGGATTAAATAGTGGACTCACTATATCAATATTATTTTTTAATGGAAAATTATATATAATAACAAACTATTACTTCAAACCAAATGTCATAACCGCAATTTGATTTAATTGTAACACATAACAACTTCTTGTCATTCGGCTCTCTCCCTAGGTTTCTCGCTCGTCACTATCGTCAATCTCTCCCTTGCCTCTCTCGTTTTTATACAAACACAAATGTATAAAATGTGTTTCTGTTTGTATAAAGTGAGAGAAAATTGTATATTTACGTATATTTTTGTTTCCCTCTCTCCTAGATCTTGCTCTCCACAGTACTCCCTGACCACGCTCGCCACTCTCACTCGTCTCTCTCACTTTATACAACCGCAAATGTACACATTGTGTTTGTGATTGTATAAAGCGAGAGAAAATTGTATATTTACATATATTTTCGTTCCACTCTCCCAAATCTCGCTCACCACTCTCATTCGTCTCTCTCACTTAATACACACGCAAATGTATACATTGCGTTTGTGTTTGTATAAAGTGAGAGAAAATTGTATATATAAATACAAATACATATATTTTCATCTTATACACTTATGAGTATACAAATACAGATCTTTCTCTGCCCAGTTTTCTTTTGCATTTTTCTCTTTCTCTTTTATACAAACTCAAATTATACAATTGATTCTTTTGTATATGTATATCGAGACAAATTATAGAATTGCTTTTTATGTATAAGTATAGTGAAATATACAAATTAATAGTCATAGCAAATATAAAATTTGTTATGGAGAGTAATTATACAAACTATAGTTATAACATCCAAATATGATTTTTATGGGTGTCTAACTGTCAAGTTAAAAATTAACAAGTACGAGGGAGAGAGTAATAACTAGTTTGTTCTCACTTATATATCAGTTGACAATTATTCTAATATGAAATGAAAGTTATACTTATTTAATAACTAGATAATTCTTTGCCCGGGTTGCCTTTTTAGTTTTGACAGAATGACCATAATTTAGCTTTAAATGAAGCAAAGGATTGCACTGTACCTAGATGAATGTATAACTAACTGAAATCATAGGACAAAATTAGCAGTAGAAAGCAGCTATGACTTCAACGACTCTGCATTCTACAAACACACCGAATTCTCAGACCTTCAAATGACATCAACAATAATAATCAGGAAAAAGCACAACTACCTCTACGCACACTCTGGACCATCTTCTGCATATGTAGTATTTGACATTCATGATCTTATTCCAATAGTAAAAGACGACTTTTGGTCTACGTTACTTCTTTGTACAAGAGTGTTGTCTAGTAGTGTTATAGCATACGTATTCAAGTAGAAGGCTCAAATCTTTTCTCTAATGTGGAAGAAAGTGAACACTAAGATGGACTTAGACTTCATGTGATTCATTACTTGTTACGTCAGAATGAAAAGACTGGTTGAAGATAGTACCCTCCAAAATATTTGGTAGATTCTTCATAGTCTTTCCTGAAAAGAGAAAAAGAATTTCTTAGGATGTGTTATCTTGTTCAAGGTAGCCAAAAATTGTAAATGCATAATAACACGCAATCGAAGGTGGAAATATAGCGCCCGCAAGAGAGCACTATGAATTTGCACTTATCAGTTTTCTAAAAGTTCATTTCCTTCCCTTTTGACATTATTTGAGAGGCTCTTCTCCAACAAAAGTCACTCTTATTCAGTCCTTTGGCTAAGAGAACTTTTTCTAATCCGATGTCCTGTCATATTTTAGGAAGTGATGATCATACGGAGGATAGTCGTGTCAAATTTCTTGATCTGCATAAAACTCAGCTCGACATTGTCTATAATCTCTTCTATTTACCCACAAGTGTTATTTGCGTCATCCATTTGTGGTTGTTGCTTATTATGAAACTTCGTTGCAAGCAAACAATTATTTTATGGTATATTATGTTTTCTGAGAAAAATAAAAATATCCAATTTACTCTCAACAGATTAATGTGTTGGAAGGAATTCTCCTTACAACATAATCCTATTAATTGCGACATCCATCTAGGTATAATATAGGGATTTACCTAACTATATACTTAAGAGACATAAACTATCCATATTCTCAATACCGACAAAACCAGAAAGGGAAAAACAGAGGACCTTTGAGTACTTTGTCGATCGAACTTGCAGCAAGCGACTTGCTTAATGCAGTAACCTCACTTTTATGTCATGCGGGCTGTAATGCTGAAACAGGTACAGATTTCGTTGTCATAATAAAATTGAAGAGCTTTCAGAAAGGAAGTTAACATATGAATGCACATATTTAGGCTTTGCTACAGAGAAATATCTTAATACTTTTTACCATGCGAAAATGTAAGAACAAATGACGGTATATGTCATTGGCAACAAAATATTGGGTATTATACATTTTCCTCCACAATTGAGGAAGTTCAGCTCCGCTACTCAACTTAATCATTCACATTTGCAATTCAACCTCTGAAAAGATCATTTGACATAAAATACAGACTCTTGAATCATCCACATATAATATAACTCAAAGTACACAGGAACTGAGCATACATAAACGGAGCGGGAGCTATTTGGCGGCAGAAAAATACATGTTTTTTGTTGAAAGGCTCAATTTCACCAAGTTGAAAATTGACAAATCCGAACAACCTCAGTATATAAAAAAAAATATTGGGAGCACAAATAAAGAGACAGCAAAATATCTTATGCAAGCTATTTGGCGGTAGAAAAATAGTCTCTTTCGTTGAAGGCCTCAATTTCACCAAGTTAAAGATTGAACAAATCCGAACAGTCTCTGTATATAAAGGAAAAATATTGGGAGATCAAATAAAGAGGTAGGAAAATATCTTATGCAAACTACTGCTTCAAGTTACTAACATCACCGATATATAATCTCTCGAAGGTCCAAAATGTAAGCTTTCCTTTGAATCACTTGCTATCATAATTAAACACTGTGTAGTAAAAAAAGAGCTTTTCTTTTGGCTATATCGATATAGCTTAAATATATGTTTATAGCAAACTGAATCAATTGATTTTACCACATGGCCAAGACCAATTATCACTTCTTTTATGTTACTTAAACAGCGAACCTCAGAAAGTATATGATTCACCCAATGATAGTAAACAATTTGAAGTAAATATGCAGCATTAGGAGGTATATGGTTCTTATGTTTTAAAAAGATATACAACATGCTTTTTCGACAACAAGTAAGAATATGTTTATGACCTAAAATTCAAACAAAAAAATTCTCCTACCGAGTCAATCTGAGGAAAATTCAATATGCGCCTCACCTGAACTTCTTTGTTTGTTTGATTCGAAGGGGAAGGGCCCGTTGAGTTCTTAAGAATCATAATATTTATGATCTGTTGATAGAGTGAGAGGGAAAAAAATAGTAACCAAAATATCTTGGAGAGCTCCAAAAGGTTCACAAATGGCCGAATCCAATGTCTCGGATAGCAGTACCAAATCGACAAATGAAAGTACACAAGTTCAAATGCCTATATTTATCAAAAGTAATAAAAATCACCAGTTCCCACAAATTACAGCTCAATTTCATAAACAACATAGGCTCTTAATTGAGGGATATATGTCGAGAAGTTTTTGATTTTTGAGATACAATAAAAGATTTATCGGCACAATTAACATCTAGAGAAGTAAAAGGAGAGTAGAGAAAACTCGAACAGAAACATATGAATTTCTGAAACTTCTAACTAACAATTATAGCAGAAAGGATACTACCACCGAATCTTGATTGAAGCGGTAGAAACTAATTGAAATCAACTTCAACCATACTATCTGATTGACAAAGATTTAAACTACTGCCATATAGAATTAGAGGGCAAAAATAAAAGATAATACAATATATAACTTGGATATAGAACAAACAAATAAACAAATCAATTATTGAAGAGAAGAGATAAAATCAAAAAATTAATGCAATTACTCCAAGAAAAATTGACTAGCAAATTCATTATTACATATTATAATAATAAAGCTTACCACAGTTAGAAAACCGATGGTAATCCTCATAGAAGCAAAAGGTGGGTATCGTTGATTGACTGAGAAATATGATGCCTCACTTCACCATTTACAGCGGTGGATGGGAAGTGATAGTCGGTAGCATCACCGCATCAGTGGTGCATGACGTACTGGTCCACCTATGAGCTTAAGATTTTTGAATTTTGTTATCAGAAGAGAAGGGTTTAGAAAGAGAAAATATGGGATACGTGGTGAAAATATCCTTAAATTGAATTGTAAAGACAGAAAACGGACAAGTTAATCCATATTTTGAGTTAGTCATTCTTTTTCACTCAAAACTCACTCAACTATGCACTTCTTTCTCAGACAGTAACTTAACTTTGAATTTTAACTCAAAAGATTCAACTATCTCCTCTTTCCTCAGAAAGTCACTTAATCTATTAAATTATTTTTTTAATTAAAATTTATGGATATTAATTATTTATATAATAAACCAAAATTTTTAAAAAATAAAAATACTATTTAAACCATTTAGTGATCCACCCACCTAACCCGGCCCATTAAAAAATATGGTATGACCCATTTTATTTTATTTTTAATATTAAATTATTCTCTCTCTTTCTCCTAGCTTCTCTACATTTTCTTTTTTCATTCTCCATTGTTGATGCCTCTCCTCTTCTTCCCCTTTTAGCTAGGTTTTAATTTGGGCATCTCGACTTCAAGCTCGATATTAAATAGAAATATGAATGGACTCTCTTCGTCCTCTATTTTGATTTAGGTATCTTCCATTATACTCCAAAATTCAACTTGTGAAAATGGAGGACTCTACTGAATCAAGGAGAATAACAACTGAATCTCAAGTAAATGGCTCTAACTTATCTCCAACACTGAAACGGGACTGCTTACCACATAAAGGACCTTTAAACAAATTCAAATATAATATGACACCAAATGAAAAAAGTCATTGAACTAATACTGAAATAGATTACTTCTTTGATCCTTAAAATCAGTAAGATAATAAGATGCAACATTGACTACTATGAAACACTTCAAAAATCAAACAATGTGTGTAGCAAGATAAAGACGACAACGAGAAAGAACTACCAAATATATGTCATCTCATTTATAACTCCATACTCTGCAATAGATTGTTAAAAGCTCAAAAATACATTTTTTATGCCTTCCATGTTGTTTAATCTGCTATATTTTGATAACAACAAATGAAATATAAATCATCCGACTTAGTGATCTAAACTAGTAAAAGCACAAGACACATTTGCATGAACATAAACAAAATTATATGACAGAGCATACTCTCCGTACAAGACCATGATATTATCCGTAATAACCTTTCTTTTACTGGCAGTCATTCGAGCAGCAGATCGAGCATGCTGCTATGGGAGTTCCAACGAATATTAACATTTGATTATACTTACTACGTAGGGCAGGGCAGGGTCAATACAAGAAGTGTTTTTCTCAAAAATTCAAATGAACGAAGATCGAGCACGCTTGCTTGACACAGTATGTAAGGTCATATAATGCATACCAAAAATAATACATATAACATAACATATTGAACAAATGAGTGAAGGTCACACAACAACAAGTTTTAAGAAAATAAGACACTTTATATACAATGTCATATCTACTCTTCCTAACTGATGAGTTAAGGTCGCATGACCACAAGTTTTAACAAAATAAGACATTTTATACAGTGTCATATTAGCACATCCTAACTAATGTGTCACGACCGGAATCTAGACCCCAGACGAGACCGGCGTTGTTGACCTCTCAGAGGTCGCAAACAAGCCTACTTACGTCATTCTTACTTTACATAGATTAATTTTAGCGGAAAATTTGAAATTTTTTATTTCTTTAATCATACTTGTTAAACATTCTTTATATTTCGTAATTGTTCATCACCAACCATCTAACATTTAAGAGATAAGCAAATGAAAGAAATAATTCATTAAATATTAATTGTATAGCGGCCAAAATAGCACCAATACAAAGTCTGAACCAAAACAGGAAAGAAACGCTAGTGGAACATGCTCCACTAGCTCAACTCTAAAACTACGCTAGAATGTAAAACAGTAGCATCCTCGAAGGCATGAGGACCTACCAAACTCCGGATGAATGCTGACGTCCAGATAGCTGCAACAAAGAACCTGTAGCTCTACCGACCACCTGTGCCTGCACCTAAAAGTAGATGTTTGTATGGAATTAGTACACACTTGTACTAAGTATGGGCATATGCAAGCACACATTAGGGACATGCATGAGGAAGAAGAGCTCTTTCCTAACTACATGATGTTTGGAAGTCAAGTCAATGGACTTGATAAAATGAGATTAGGAAATTTATGCCATGAGAGTGACATGCATCATTATAATCATCGTGTTGCACGCAACACATAACATCTTCATATAGCACATAACATATAACACATAGTTTCCTTCATATTATTCATTTATATACCATGAGACCTTATTATCATAGACTTAACCTTAAGACTTTCCAAAATGAGGGCTCAACATATGGGACCTCAACTGGGGAGCCTTCTTCAGCAAACACAGAGTCTGCTTCATTCATTCATGCATATTTCATTTCAATTCATTCATAGGCCAGTGCGAACACCAGTTATACCTGGGATGTAGTTTAAGACTTTCATCGGGTTTGCTGTGCAATGATCAAGAATAACCTAATGTCATTACCTGAATCTAGCTCACCTCTTGATTATCCTATCCTAACACCTTCGGTATCATTCATTTCTTTATGTGATTCATTTGAGGCTGGCCTCATTCATTCATTGGGAACTTTAACTTTAACCGACATAGATCATGTGAGCATCATGAAATCCAGTGTCTCCCCCACACTGAAAAGAGGTGGAATCACCGGCCAAAGCGATTCAATAACATGCTAGCGTATATGGTAATTTAACCCCGCCAGATCCCTATAGTGGCAATATAGGTTCAAAGACTAGGAGATGTATGGAGACCCATACCCGGCAAGCCGGACAGTCTCATCTCATGAGAATTACGTGAACCTCCGCCCTTCCCGAAAGAAGGCATCACCACTCATAGCTAGCATATCGGTGCTCGGTATAAAGTTCCATTACCTTCAACTCATACATCATAGAAGTTGGATTCTAGTATGAGGACATCATAGTTCAATAGATGATTTCTCATCTCATCATTAGTATTAAGTGTTTTAAACTCAATATTTTCATTAGAGTATTCATAGAGACTGGTCTCTTCATTATCTCACACTCACATTGGTAAGTATGTATTAATAACATTTACTTAGGCTCATTTGAGATTGCTCTCATCATATACATTAGCCTCACATTATGGTTGTCACCACATTCTTCATTTCATTACGTATATCTTAGGTCCACTTATTTTTGAACGTATGTTGAACTTATGTGTCTATACATACAAGCCATTGGACTTCATTTATAGTTCGTTAAGTGATTATTATTTTTCTAAGATTATGTATTACAAGACTTATGTATCTTGTATATATGCCAAGATCTTTGATTTTTGATCTAAGTAGATGACATTATTCTTGAATATATTTCACTCACATATGACTTATGTATCAATACGGAGGTTTGGACACGAGAACTCAAATCTTGAATTATTTGGATATCATTTATATTTTTCATTGATTTTAGTTTTAATATTCATAAATTTAGAACTCTAAATTAAATCTCAACATTTTCGTGACATAATAAATTTTCTATTTTAATTAGAATTCTAAATTAAATTTCAATCATTTACATGAAAGAATAATTTTCTAATTTAATTAGAATTCTAATTTAAATCTCAATATTTACATAAAAGAATTAATATTCTATTTTAATTAAAATTCTAAATTAAATCTCAATGTTTACATAAGAGAATTAATTTTCCAACTTTAACTAGAATTTTAATTTATTATTATTATTATTTTTAATTAAATTCGCTTGAATAGGGAGGTTGTGGGTTCGAACCCCCACAGTCCCCCTTATTTTTCTCTTAATTTCACTGGGAATGGAGGCTGTGAGGTGGTGGGTTCGAACCCCCACAGCCTCACCTTTATTCCCTTAATATTTGTACTCCCCCTTTTAGCCCTGAGGTCGCAGGTTCGATCCCCCGCCCCAGCATTCCCTTTTAATCCTTTTTTTTCGCGAACGGGGGTCGTGGGTTCGATCCCCGCCCCCAGCATTCTCGTTTTAATTCTCTCTTCTTCTTTTTTTCGCGCGTGGCTGGGGGTCGCGAGTTCGATCCCCCCAGCCCCCTTATAATTTCTTTTCTTGGCGAATTTCGCCGGTCCCAGCCCCCATTTTGAGCCCCTCCTAGCACTCCTCTTTATTTAATTTATTAAGGCATGTTTTGGTGAGGTCTTGGGTTCGATCCCTGCAGACCTCACCTATTTTTTTTTATTCTTTTTTTGCTCAAAATTTCCAGAATGCGCATCTACAACATATTTCCAGGTTCTGGGACATTACTCCACAATTTTGTACATCATTTTTACGGGTTAATTTAGCATTTGTTTCTTATACATTCGTTAATGTTCTTAGGACAAGTTTAGGAAGATGATTTGATCATTTATTTTACTAGAATTTATAGTCTTTCAACCATGTGAATATACGATTTTAAGAGCCTCTAATTGCACACAAAACACGAATAACCTTTATGCTATTAGCATGTTAAAGAAAAACTCAAAATCATAATCACAATCTTGCACAAATACATACATATTCCCAAAGGACACAAAATATAAACACATAGCCATAAACACATACTCGAAACGATATCATCACCACGAACAAGTATCCCTAAATTCTACCAACAAGAATACCCAACCTAAGATCATAGGGAACTAGTGACAGGGGCATGCAACGGGGAACAACCTTAGTTTCGAGATGAATAGTTTGAATCGTAAGGGGCCTCTTGGGAAAGGAGCCAAGAGAGAAGAAAACCCATACCTTAATCGATGTTCAAACTTTGATGTTGCTGCCTGAAAAACTCCTCCAAACCACTTCCAATTCACTTCAACGTACACCTCACTCGACGAACCTCTCTTAGCCTTGACGTATTGATTACTTTTTATTTTACTTAAAAATTCTTGTGAGTTCTTCAACCGTGAAGAACTGTTGATATTTGGCAGAAATAATGGGAGGAAGATGGAGAACGTGAGAGAGAAAGTTAAGAAGCGTGAAAAAGAGAGAACTATTAAGATTAGGAGACTAATTAAAGAATTAGTCAAATACATTTAAAATAAATAAA